CCCCCCCGTTTCACATTTGTGTCGAATCTTAAAATACATCCCCGGAATCTTCCGTCTTCTATTCTCGGGCTCATCGGAGTGTCGAAACACAGCAAATTCAATTCAAACACGCCCAAGTGAGGTTCGCGCGCATGATCTTGTTTCCCGACGACTCGCGAAGAGCCGATTTGGAGAAGCCTCTCGGGCTTTGAGTCTAACGATAAAAATGCACGGTCCGCTTCGCAGACGAAGCAGATCCTGGAGCGACACCTCGTGATAGCGGATCAGGCGTATACGATGTCGAAGTTGAAGGAGATGAGCAACGACACCATCTCCCTGCCGGCGGCCAGGGACACTCTGAGACTCCGCGTCAAGGAGCACGGCGAAAGTGAGTAGACTCGTTTCGAGTACATTGCCACGCAAACACTGACACTCCCACACAAGTATACACACACACACACACACACACCGTACCGGCTTCTCCACCGCACAGACATCTTAATATCACAGCGAAGTGGTAGTCCCGCGAATTTTCCGTCCGTCGTGTAACGCGCGCGCGGCGGCTGCGCGAAGATCGCGCTCAAGTGTAAATCAGACGTGTTAATTCAAGGCGCGCACAGCAGGGGAACCGGAAAGTTTCTCCGCGGAGGCACGTTTGCGACCCGCTCGAGACACTCGCTTAAACCGTCAACTATCGGTAGCCTTAACTGTGTGCGCGTCTGCCTTCGCGACGCGCTCGCGATCGTTCCCGAGGCGCGGAACCACCCTTCCGTCTCCTCCCGCTCCCACCTCCGCCTTATCCTTCTCTCGTCCCGACTGTTACGTCCCCCGCTTGTCGCCGACACTTTCAAACCTGGTGCTGTCTGATTACATGTAGATGAGAAGTACGACGAAAACGCAATCCGTCCAGAAATGCAATTCGGTGAGTGAGTTAAGTGTTTGAACGTCGCCCACGTGCGACGTCGCACACACACACACACGAGTGCTTTTCACTTTGTACGAGCCAGCACTATATGAGTGTGAAGGAGTGCACCCTTTATATGCACCACGCTCGCGCGTACACGTCCTCGTGTGCGCTAGGGAATGAGCGTATATATTACCCGCGCCGGCGAAGTTCGTCCCCGATCGTCTCCGGGTCCATGGATCATCCGGGATCCGCGAAATCGCCCGACCACCCCGGGGGAGTGTCCGAGCGTGCTTGAAATTACTTCGCACACTACGCGACATGGAAATGTTCAGCGGGTTCAGATTTCACTCGAGAGTTTTCCATTTTATGGCCGATTATTTGCTCGCGTTTGACGATCGAACTCTCTGCGGTAGCTCTCATTGGTCATCAATACTTCTCCCGATCGGAAGTTTGCAAAGAGCCGTGGATCAATCAGTGATTTCAGTTTTCGCGTCTCTGCTCTCTCCTGAGAATTATTACAGCGACATTGAAACGCTCGCGTGTGACGAAAACGCTGTCAATTAAATAGAGAATTCGCAGACTTCTTGCTGTCTAAATTTCTCGGGGAGAAATCTCGCTCGAAAAGCAGAGTGGCCATCGAGTCGCTTGAATTCGAGTGACTTTTCACTCGTGTAGAGTGATTTCTCCACGCTGGATTGTCGAGTGAATATTTTCATCCAAAGTTGAAGAGTGAATTTGATGTACGGCCGGCGTCACGTATACTGTACTATTTCTTAGACAGAAAATTACAAGATTTTCAGCCGTGTAATCGTAAGTTGGAAAATCACACTATTAACTCTAATTATAATAATAAGATAAGTAATGGCTCGATCTATAACGATTTTGACTTTTATACGTATACAAGATATCTGATGCAAACCGTCTTATTCGTTACATATTTGTAGTTAAGGTCAAAGTAAATAAAAAAGTCCTCCACCATTTTGCAAATAACCGCGCAAAATTTTGAGTTATTAATTATTGAAAATGGCCAAAAAAATTGGCGTGATTACTTGCAAAATGGTAAAAGACTTTTTTCGTTCACATTAATCCAAACTACAAATATATATATATGACAGATGAGGCGGTTTGCGTCAGACATCTAGTATAAGACTGAAAATGATAATTCTCGATTTAGAAAATGGCACAGCGCACACGTGACATCGACTGTACCTCCGCTGTCACTATTCACTTCACAGTTGATTGAAACATTCGCTCGTGCGGAGTCAGAATCCACTCTAAGCTCGAATGAAACATTCACTCTTGCGATTTCGAGCGGCGGTATTCCCACTGTCGCTTCGAGCGAAAGTACGGCTACTTGTCACTCGCGTTTTCGAGATCTCTCTCGTCGGACTCGCGCGAGCAGATCCCCGTGCCCCGAGTCCGCCGGATCCCGGGAGTCTCCAGATCCTCGGACGCCGGCTTCGTGCAACGATTCTCATTTATTTTCTGTATGCTTGTACTGTGTTACCGCGTTACGTATTATTATTATTACGTATACCATGTGTGATCGTACGCCAGGCTTGTTGCGCTTCCACGCTTACGCTTACGTATACGAAGGATCTGCGAGAATACGGGATCCGGGAGCGGCGTTAGCGGGGCCGCCGACGTTCTTCCCGCGAGACCAACTTCGCTCGGCGCGCGAAAAAGAAAAGGAAACAATGAGAAAGAGGAAAGACTCGTTCGCACTGAGATTAGCGACTTGTGAGCCGTCGACGCTTCGTCTAATTATTTTGTATTATTTGAGATTTTATTGCATCGCAGTCTACATAGATATGTACATTTATATACTTATATACGAGAGACGCGCAGACGCGTTCTCAAACCGCGGGAAACCGCGAGTCACGTGATCGGCGAGCCCGCTTCCCGTCTCGTCGACACGTCGCATATCGCTTCGAGGCTCTCGTTTGAGAGCCTCTGCCTCACGGCAGCGCGATCGAACTCGCCGTTAAATAATACTGGAGGCATCGCGCACAATGGATGGCTCGCGAAACCAAGACCGTGCCGAGCTTCACGACCAATTAGAGCCGGGATTCTCAACCCCGCCGGGGCGAATCGCGTTGCGTGCGGCGATTCTCCCGATCGGATCGAGTCGTTGAAGGAAGGGCGAACGGGGGAAAAAAGGGAGGAAGAGAGGGAAAATAAACGAATGAATATATGACAGAGAGTGCGATAGAGAGGGAATGAGAGAGAGAGAGAGCGAGAGGGGGGGAAGAGCAGCGATGAGAAGCGAAGCGCGCGCGGTACGCGAGAAACAAAAGCGTATTAATTGCGGCGAGGGCAACAATACTCATTGTGCACGGCGGAATTAATTACGACGAGCAGAACGTTCATTGTTGCGCGTAAATTAATCGCAACAACAACGGCAATAGGATATCATTACCTTTGTCGCGGGTAAAACGAGGAGCCACTCGTTTGCGGTTACCGTCTATTGTTTACGACCGAGACCGTGCATAAATGCACGAACCCTTCGCACCCTCTCGCTCTCTCTTTCGCGCGCGTTGCGTATAGAATAAGAATTCGCGCGACCCTCCTTCGCTGCGCCGTTTCTTTCGCGGAAGAGAGGCGCTTAACGCGCCCGGGAGAAAGACGACGACGACGACGGCGGCGAAGGAAATTCGAGTATATTCCTTCCGTGATTCCGGCTAACTGTTACAGGAGGAGGAAAAGGGGCCTGGGGACGATGGCCATTACGCTTACACAGAGATGTTAATCTCTGGTTGCGCTCTGTACGTTAATCCTTCTGTAAGCCGGCGGAAGCCAACTGCTCGTTGCCGTATTAGCATTAAAGCGATAATAATTCGCCTCGCATAGGTCGATACTAATTACTTCATTGGCGCGATACGATCGCGCGGGCAGTCGCGTCCCCGGCCACTCGGATCTCGAGAAAGAAACGACGCTCGCGACGCGTTAATAACCGTGCGGACGTTAATTGCGAATTATCGGGAGGTCAACGGTGATCCTCGCGGAAAACGTGACAGCTCGCGCGGCATTTGACTGCCGTCTCGTCGAGAGCTCGGTGGAAGGACGCGCTGTATTGCACGCAGAGGGAAAGATAATGATCTTAAGGTTTCGATTTTCCCTCGTTTTTATCATTAAAAATCTCGAATGAGTCAGACATCGGCTCGTTGTTTGTTATTGACTTAAAAGGAAAAGAGCAAATCGTCGTTTCACTCCCCTTTCCCCGATTTTCCGCGCGGAAAAGGCTTCGGGATGGAAATTCTCGAGCGGACGCGACGCACCTCCGTAAACTCTCGTGTCGCGTCTCGGCGCGTCCTGACGCACCGCGACGAATTTCCGGATCCAACGCGATCTCGAGAAGCGGATTACAAAACATCGACCGGCCGTGAAAACGCGTCTCTTTCTTTCTCCGCGGTGTGACGAAGGATCTTGGCTGCCGACCCGAAAACCGGAACCGAACATGCACACGCGCGCCATTACGGGGCCGGAACCGCAGCGCGATTTATTATGCACCTTTGGACCACCATTTAAATGCAAATTCCTTGATTACCCCCGGCGCTAATTGTTGCCCGTCCGGCCGCTCGCTCGCTCGCCTGTGAGCGCGAATTTCCGAAGCGTTTTTCGACTCGGCGATTTAACAATCCGCCGTGTTTCGCGATCCCGCGAGGGGGAAACTCGGGGAGGATCGCGAACGAGGAGAGAATAAACTTCGGTATACCTTTCGTTATTCCGGGGGAGGATATTTGTGAAATGTAAACAGCGGTGTCGCGGGGGAGTAACGGATTATTGTCGTCGAGACGTAGGGACGGTGGAATACGATAAAGGTACCGATGGTCTGAAGGGGACACTTGTCATCTTGATCGTCGAACATGGCTATTCGAAATTTCACGTATGCACGTATAAGAATAAAAATGCCCTCTTGTATTTGAAAGTTGCAAAGAGAAATATTCACTTATTTCTGTGTATCTACGCTTTTCGTCAAACAGTTAATTTCCTTAGCCACGTAAACAGTGATTTATTCACAAGACCATTGAGTCGGTTTAAGTTGTAAGAGTAATAGAGAATAATAGGGACATCGCATTTTGTCGACACCAGGCACAAGGTTTGATTCTGTTGATTCTGTTGATAATAATAATAATAAATAAAAAATAATTAGGTAAAGTAGGCGTCCGGTGCGTTTGCTTTGCAAATATTTTTCGCTTATCAGACACTCATTGCGAAAATCAAGCTGTGCCCGCGCGTCGATAGGACAAATCGGTCCCCGAATCGCCGCTGATTCTCGTACCGTATTAATAGTTGTCATTCGCATCTTGTGAGCCAGCCAGATTAACCATTAATTAGTTAATTAATGAAATAACAGACATTAATACTGAAGCTTAAGCTGAAATCTGAGTATCCTACTTGAGACGAGTTTCAAATAAAGATTATTAATACGAGAGATTATATTAATACCGAGCATGAGACAAGTTTGAAGCAACAACTATTAATACAGCCCCGGAAATCTCATCTCGACTCGATCGTCACTCGATAACACGTCCCGCCGCTGTCGTCGTCGTCGAGGAGTTCTCGATGCGGCCCCCCACCGCTTCACGGATCGACCTAGCTTTGCATTTTGCATCGCATTGCGCTTTCACTTACATTCTCTCACCGCGCATCTTACGTGCCAGCCCCATTGCTCGCGATCGCGTCCCGGCTCGGTTTACGTCATCGTCAATCTCTCGTTGCAGGCTACAGCGTGGAGTGGCAGGGCGAATGGATCCGAGTCTTCCGTCCGGACGTCGAGTGCACCAACGGCATCATCCACGTGATGGATAAGGTGTTCCTCAAGGACAGCGACGTACGGGTGACGGGCGGCGCGTCGCTCGCCACCCTCGCCCCCCATCTAATCATGATACTGATAGCCAAGTGGCACCTGTAAAACCCGATCGCGCGTCTCGCACAGGTGCATCCATAGGGATTTCCTTGGGGCCGTCTCCGATCGTCCTCGCGCGACCAGCAGCAGCGACACCGCGGCGACGCTTCGGCGAGTAGGCCTGGTCGATCGTCCCGCGCGGCAGGACGCTCGTTACGCAGTGATCGGGGGGCAGGGGGGAGTAGAGAACGACAATCGCGAGGATCCGAGGATCCCGGGCAGCCGAGAAACCAAAGATTCGAGCCACCGAGAACAACGCGGAGACACGAAGGCCCGAGGATCCGCGGATCCGTCCGCGTGGACGCGACCTCTACTCGCTCTCTCGACGGACGTGAGAGAGCGTGCGAGGAGGGGAACGGAGACCGGCCACGTCGGCCGATCGCACGAAGGAAGCTCTCACCGACGGGAGGACGACCGAGCACTTCACGATCGCACGGCCTCAGACAGCCAGGATAGCCTATTATTTATTGAGTAATCGTCCGTGGACGCAGACAAACGAACATACACACACACACACACGCACACATTCACACATAGCGGGACAATTTTGCGAGTTAGGAGCGTTAATCGTAGCAAATGAAACGGTTAACGTATCGAGTAATCTAAAGAAATTTCTCGACCGGAAGGAAGGACAGGAGAGGGCAGAATGGGAGATTTCGAGGTACACCCGCTTCGACGAAGGGCGGCGACGAGCGCGAGGCGGAGTCATTTGCCGATCGCGTCGCGATCTGCCGAGGGAGCCGTCATCGTCCGGGCCTCAGATCGAAGAGCTGAATTCGATTCTCGCCACCTTCGTAATCCGCGGATCCCCCGCGCTCACGGCTGCTCGGTAATTACGCCGCGGGACGAGCGCGCCTCGCTTACGAGCGACTCTGCTCGGTTCTTTCGCGGAGCCCGCCGCGAACTCGTACTGCCGCCTGTCGCGAGCGTATAAAGTAGGGCTAGAACTATCCGACATTTTCGAAGTTTCGAACTCTGATCGAAGATTCGAAATATCGAAGCTGTTAATGGGACTGATTTCGGAGAGTGCGGCAAGATGCCGTGCAATTATAGAGTATCAGTTTAACCGGGTTAATATTAAGACGCTCTAAGATGGGATATACGTTATTGGGTAAGTATCTTTCGTTCGTTTCTGAGATTTGTACTTGTCCAGTTGAAAACAAAGTGAACGAAGAGAGCACAAGTAATAAACAACAAATCTCATTAACTTTATTGTAAAATAAAATGCAAACTTCGTCATGATGTGTAACGACATAACACAATGCGAGAAAAAATTTCTTTAGGACAGTAAATACTACTTACTACACCCACACGAAGCGAACACGCGTACTTTCCAGTTAGTGGAATTTTGAATATTGAAACATCCGAATGTTCGGATTTTCGCGCTTCAAAATTTCATTATTCGAAACAACATAATGTGTCGAAGGTTCAGAAATTCGAACAAGCTTCGAATGTAACTTCTAGCCCTTCAACGACGAGGGATCTTTTCGTCCGCGGAAACTCGCGAGTTCCCGGCTGCTTGGATCCTCGCGAGACGTGTGTCCTCCTATCCCAAATCCTCCAGGATCCACAGATCACTCGGTCCGTTGATTCCCCGGGCAAGAGCACACACGGGCTCGTTGGAGCTCCCGAGCTTCCTCCGACGTTCCTCGGTTTAACGCTTTGAGACCGGATTTCGTCCTTCGACGATAATTACTTCGACCACGATCGGCGTTACTTTCCTCACAAGCGCGTTTTTACCCCCTCGTCGGCCCTTTGCGAACGCATAGAAGGACGCAATCATCAGAGTGACCCGCGAAGCTCCGCGGAAAAGTACCTGAATCCGAAAAGCCGAACCCGCCGAGTCTCTCCTCGAATTTGCATTCCGCGCGCTGTTTTACGCTGTTTTAAACCGCAACGACACACCCGGACACAAACACACAGATACGGTTCGTCCCTCCGTGTTCGGAATAAAGCCTCAAACGGCATTGTTTCTCCATCGCGTACCACTCCCGGTCTTAAAGGATTAATTGTCGCGCTATTAGCGACGGCGGCGGCGCGCTATCGATCGTCGGCAGCCGTTGGCGAAATAGTATCGGCACCGAAGGACCACACGGACAAGCAAACGGACAGACAGACGCACGCGACACCTCGATGTCATCTCGGTGCATCTCGCTGCGAGCGCGGATTCTCACCCTTTCCCGGCCAACAATGTCGTCGTTCCCTTCGAAGACCCATCCGTCGCCGCGGGAGAAGGGTTAACGGTCGCTCGTGGATGGCCCCGACGAACACTGCTATGTATCATATCGTATATATACACTACGTATACTACTTACCGAGAATACACTGCCACGCGCATCGCGGGCCGAACGAGCTTGCGAAATAAAAAAACGAGTTTTTGTACGATTATTATTATCAGAGGGCGAGGCAGTGGAAGGGAGGGCTCTACTTCGGAAACAGCGATCCCCGGAAAAAAAAAACACAGGTGCATTAAGGGGTTACCCGAACTTGAGAGAGCACGCAAGCACGGAGGTACCTTGAATAATGAATGGTGTGGGAGAGAGAGAGAGAGAGAGAGAGAGAGAGAGAGAGAGGGAGAGAAGTGCGCAAGAAAGTTAAAAAGAGAGTGAAAAAGAGAGAAAGACGTCGGGCTTTTTTTAGATTTCTTCATACCTCCTCCTGTAAATTCGTAATCGAAGGTACCCCCTCTCGCGCGTTTCGCGTTTTCCAGCTTTCTCGGGAACTCCTTAAGAGAGAGGAATCGACGGGAATCCATTCTGTCGAGAAGAAAGGCCGTATAGCGACAACAACAAGGCGCTCGGCGCTACGTGGACAGGAAAGAAAGAATGGAAAAGAGAGAGAGAGAAAGGGGAGGTAAAAAGGAGAAAACGAGTTCGCCGCACGGAGACGCGTCTTAATTCTCGTTAAGAGGAATTAGATCACTCCCGTAATTCCGTTAAGGGTAGAATTAAGACGGCTGGAAACGAGTGGGAGAGGAAGCGAAGAAAAGAAGCATACAAATACATACACACGATCGAAGATTATCGAACGAATTCCGGTGGTGGTTCCGGGTGACGTCCGCCCCGCGAACCGCCGAGAGAACGCAGTTTCCCCCGTTGCGTTCTCGCCGATTCGCCCTTTAATTTTCGAGAGAGACGGGAGAACATTCCGTGACCATATCTACTTTCGGCGTAGGCTGTCGCGTTCTCTCTATCGTAATAACTATATCACGATGAACTTTATTTTCCCTCCAGCCCGCGCTCTCACTGTGTTTATATTATACACGTGCACCCAATGTCCGTCGCACATAGCGAACTTCACCATTAAAAGGAGAGAGAGAGAGAGAGAGAGAGAGAGAGAGAGAGAGAGAGAGAGAGAGAGAGAGAGAGAGAGCCCTTAGCTGTATGCGTGACAAGCACGTAGCGCGCGAGGACACGCGTGAACCGTATCGAAAGAGAAAGAAAGTAGATTTCAAAAAATTTGACCGACAGAAAACCGGTAAACCCCGTTAGACGCGATAAATCGAACGAGATGTCTAGATCGGAGTTAACCCCTTCGCTGCTCGAAGACCGGTCTCGTCTAACTGAAGTTCTCGTTTCGTCGGAGGAACAGAGAAAGGAAAGGAAAGAGGAAGGTAAGTGGACGTTTTTGAGAATTTTGGACATACGGAGAGAAATAATTTGCTGGCAAATTTTGTGCCGTCGCGCGGTGATATATCCGTTAGTTACTAATCTGGACAGCGAAACGATATGTTAAGAGTACTGATTCGCTGGATACATTTTGCTGAATCTACAAATTATTTTACCGCACGTACGAATCAGCGAATGCAAGAAAGCGCTATTTTGTTCCAATAGCAAATTAACGCGCGTCCCAAGGGACACGAATTCACTCGGCAAAACTTTTCCGTCTCGGCGACGAAACTGTTTTCTTGTTCTAATTACGAGCAATTCGCTGATTTGGTTATACCGTAACATGAATTCCATCGCTGTCGCAACAAAATATGCAGCGGCAACGATGGTTCCGCCGCGACAGTGCAATTATTTTTCTCCGTGCGCAAACATTTACTTTCGCAATACACATTTTTGACTCGCGACGATCGTTCGTCGGACTCGCTCGAATTTTGAGACACGCGAGGCCCCGACTCGATCCGGAGACCAGAAGAGAGCGGGACTTTGTTCATCGAGTTCATCGATTGGCCGAGCTTCCGCCTCAGCGAGTGTTCTCCGTGCGAGCTTGTCCCGCGAGAAATTGAATATTAAAGAATATTGAATATTAAAGAACAAACGGGCGCGGATCTTCTCAATTATAGACTTCCTCGCTAAGGCGAAATCAGTTTCGCGTTCTCTCTCGCGAACGGAGTCCCGTGTCCTTTTCGCAGCGAAGGGGTTAAGGTTGGAAGACAGGGGGAGGAAAAGGGAGAACATAGAGACGAGGAGGAGGGAAAAACAAAACGGACACTCAACATAATAGAACGCGTTCGGGCCTCGAAGGGGAGCAGTGAAAAAATAGAAAACCTCGAAATTTCGTGTCCTTCCCGAGGACGAGTCGAAGGTGTATGCGGCGCGAGAGACGCATAATAGAGAGCATGATGGTTCACGTTCAACTGATTAAACGCCGAAACCCAAGTGAAAAAAACAAGGAGTGAAGAGGTAAAGAGGGGACGCAAGGGACAATTGACTGATCGGATCGTCGTTAAGTTTTGCGACACGGTCCGGTACTCGTGTTCGCGCCAGTTCGCACCCAGAAAAGGAGAAAAAACAGAGAGTTTGTGATTAACGGGCGCCGCGTCGAAACAGCCGCAACTTTCTCCACAATAGCCGATCTAACGAAAGGAGGAGAAAAGAAGTGAGAAAGGAAGAGAAACGGGAGCGGAAAAATGTCGATGTTATACGTGTGTTGATATCAGTCTATACATATATATAAAACAAATAAATAAAAGATATATATATATATAAATATATATATAATAAACAGAGATATATTAATGAGGAAGAAAGTATCGATCGGGGGGAAGAACGAGCCGAGTAGAAGCACGTGGAACGAGAAGGGGACGAAGGGGAGTAAAAGAGTAAGAGGGAGGAAGAAAGAGAGATAAGGGGAGAAAAGAGAGACAAAAATAAATAGTATCAGATGATAAACTTGTTGTTGGGATGAGAATTGATATTACGAATTATTATTATTATTATTAATTATTATTATTACAATTATTACCTATATAAAATATACATAAACTCTAATTAACACTGTTTGCTCGTTAGATGAACCAAAAAAAAAAAGAAAAATAAAGTAATAAAATAATAATAGCAAAACTCTATTTCTCCGTGTAGATGTGTCTTAATGTTCAGCTTGCTCGGCAGCCGGCCGACGGCTTGAAAAAAAAAAAAGAGAGAAAGAGAGAGAGCCTGGCGTTCGGGGCTGTCGTGAAGTCGAGGGGGATGTTCGAGTCGGTGTTTGAACGGACTGCCACGCGAGACTTAAATTTTCGCGTTCGTAGGTAGACGTCGTATGGGACGAAAATGCCGCCGGTGTTGTTGTTATAACTAACGTTGCGGGAAAGGCCGTAAATCGTTGAGAAGATGAGTGAGGGGGAGAAAAAGAGAAATCGACTACCAACCCTCCGACGAGCTCGCATTTTTTGGGGCTGGAATCGGAATAGATTTACGGACGAACGTCCGTCGACTTTGCTGTAAATTCACACGCGAAGGAAGAAGTGTCCATATTTTCAAGTCGCCGAAAAAAAGAAACACGGCGTGGGAGAACGTATTAATGCTTTCACACTGAAAATTTTAGTTCTCCGTCTTGTCTGAATTCCGCGGTTGGTAGTCGATTGGTCTCGCCGACAGAGTAGAATAGAGAGAGAGAGAGAGAGAGAGAGAGAGAAAAAGAAGAGAGAATCCAAAGAAAACAGTCTCTAAGAAGAAAGGGGAAGAAGGGGGAGAATATTGCAGGAAAGTGCATTTATGATTTCCGTTTCCAATTCGCGAGCGAAGCTACGGCGAACAGATACAGCTAAGTTTAGCCACGAGTAAATTAATTAAATCGTACGATTACGCGAATGTATAGAATTAGCAGTTGTAATCTCCTCGGGTAAACGAGTAGCGGAACATCCGCCGGATATCTGAATAACCGGAGACCCCGATCTCGCAAAATCGACCGTCAGGTCCGAGAAACTCCCGGTGTTGAAATCACGAGCGCGAAGTTCACTTTTCCGGGAGACGTCCACGTGGATCCACGGGTGTTCAGTTCCTTCGGCGGCGCCGATTCAAGATCAAAATAATCCCCGGTTCACCATCACCCCCGTGCGCACATTCCAATCTTAAAGATCGTTCCGTTGAGAGCGTCATTGTTAAGAAAAAAAAGAAAGAAAAAGGAAAAATTACAAAAAAAAGAAAAAAGAGAGAGAGAGAGAGAGAGAGGGAGGAAGCCACCGCCGACAAACGCGACGTCATCGCGGCTCTCGTAATGACCGACGCCATTTCTCCGACGTCGCGGTCCTCGCTGTATCGTTCACCGAAAAACCGTCGCCGCGTTACTCTCGCCGCAAACCTGCGCATTTTTCTATCTCGCTCATGTGACGCTGTGCGAAAATGACGAGCGCCCCCGGCACCCATCGGCACACCGACGTTTCGCATCACGCGAGTTTCCTGTACACAGCCACACACACAAACACACGCACACAACCTCGCGCACCGCGAAACACAGATACAAACATACACACACACGCGCACTTAGAAGTTTCCCACGAAGGCAGACGTTCCCTCTGTCCTCATCGTCGCACGATCCTCACACACACACACACACATACACACACACACAGCACTCGTATCCCGGCTACGTAAGGACTCGACGGTCCAGGACTCCTGGGATTTCCCGGGGCTCTCTCCTGGAGCTGCCGCTCGACTCCCGGCGCGGGGCCTTCGCCACCTCTTTCACGGGACTCTCGCGGCGGCTTTTTCGGGGGTCCGGGGAGTCCGGCGCGATTGGAAGGACGAGAGCGAGGATACGCGCTACTGATTGCATTTACGCGCGTCGCGCCCGAGCCGGCACCAAAGTGCCGGGCCGAGCGACGCGCCTTTTTACGGGCTCGATGAAGAAGGCGCCACGCGCCGCTACGTTAACGTTCGTTAGCCTAAGTACGAGGTTTTTAAGCTTTTTAAAGTTACGGCCGCGGGGGCCAGGGGTAGCGACACCCCGGCTTCCGTCGGCGCGGCAGGTGATACCGGTAAGTGCAACCAGTAACTTAAGCACGCCGCACACCATTACGGTAAATCATTAATATAAGTAAGGGTACACATATATATATATATATATATATAATAGAATATGTAAGACACACATGGAGATACACGAAGGGGAGAAAGATAGAGAGAAATGGGGAGAGAGAGAGAAGGAGAGAGAGAGCGAGAGAAATAGTGGTTTTTAAAAATTCCGTACGAAGGGAGAGAACGTATAAGATATAAGCGTGTAAACGATTTCGTATTTTAAGCGCCGGATAGGCGGGTTTCACAGAAATTAACTGACGAACGATTAAGAATTATTTATTAGCTATTATAAAAATATATATAAATATATATGTATATTATATATATATGTATATTATATATATATATATATCTATATATATATATATATAAATATACCTATACTGTAGTAGGGAAAATCAAATTTTCTGTACCACAGAGCTATTTGTATAAAAGGCATTTGTTTCACACATAAGTACACACACATACATACACTCACACGCATACACACACACACACACACACACGCGGAATCATGAAACGACATTGCTGGATATTTGATTGCCAATCACTGCGACGCCATCAAGCCGACTACGACGATGTAATTTTAGGTAACATATATTTTGGATAATTATAATCACGAGAGAGGAACTTCTAGTTTTTATTATTAGGACCTTAGGTATACGTATATTTGCATTACCTGTATTTCGTCGGAATTAGTTATTAAGTTTCTAAGTCACGCGCTCAGTCCGCGAATGCGGCGCGCTTCTAGCGAACGATTTTTACGAGAAGAGAACCTCGCGCGCTGTTCGGGCCAAAAAATGAATTTGCAGAGAGAAAGAGGGGAAAAACACAGGTTAACAAAAAGAAAAAGAGAGAGAGAGAGAAAGAGAAACAAAAAGAGGATTATAAAAGAACGTACGTACCTTCGAGAGAGAAAAAGAGACGGTTCGCGGACGAATCGACGGCGCGTCAACAAAAACCTCCACCCGCGAGACAACGACGTCGGAGCAAAAAGATTCGCGCGAGAGATGTGTGTTGTTTCGAAAAATATATATTTCCCGCAAATTTCGGGAAAGGTTCGTTCGATGAAAGAGAAAGAGAGAGAGATAAAAGTTCATCGACTTGCAGAGAAAAATATCCGTGACCGCGACGAAATTTCACCGCAATTTTTCCGAATGCGAACATCATTTTTTCTTCCGACATCGCTAATTGCGACCGAGAGCGTTCGCGGATTTGATTTTTCTGTTTTCCTTATACCGGCTTGTCGGGGAAACGTCCCTCGGGTGGAGGATTGAAGCGAGCCGACGAGAGAGAACTGGCCGTCGCCGCCGCCCTCGGCAACAACATTCGATTCGGCCGTCGTTCGTGCCGCGAACGTTCACTTCACTTGTATCTCGCTTCACTACACTGTGTAGATCCGATCGCTTTTGCTGTATGATTTTACAAAGAATAAAGAACACCTACGAGACAGATCGCGAGACGTTTATTGAGCAGCCCACGACGTGTCCCCGGTGGAATTGCACGGCGAGACGCAAGATACGTGAGTATACGGGAGACGTCGGCGAAACACCGGCGAAACGTCTGAAAGTCTGAAACCGCTCGCCTGTCGCGGGCGGTCTATGACGTGTTGCGCAAATTCGCCGCACCGTTCTCGCCATATCCGTTGTAACGCGAAGACGGAGGAGCCGTCTGTCGATCGGCGCGTGACAACGGGGTCTCCGTGGCAATCGGAGATCGCGGAATTTTGCCTGGGGGATACTCCAAGGAAGGATGTCGGAGCGTCGGACGTTCTCGGGACATTTGGACCGGAGATGGGCGATCTTTCGAGGAAAATCAATTCTTTTTAATCGGTCTTGAATCGGAGTAACTAGAATCGATTTACTGAAGAAAATCTGCGTTTATATATAGACATGTTTTTTTTTTAATATTTTATAAATATGTCCACTAATCTAAAATTAATTGGCCGTGCTTACATACAAAAATGATTCAACCCAGATAGAGATTGTTTTAAGAAGAATGAAGATACAAATTTCATATATGATTTAAAAATAAAATAATAAATAAATATAAAAATAAAAATAGCACTTTTCATCACAACGATTCAGGAGGTCAAGCATAGTCAATAATTTTCAATGATTTTCTTCTTATGTATTCATTAACTAGGGCATAAAAATAATAATTAGTAATTAAAACGTTTCCGCGCGCTGTGTGCAGAAATTACAAATGAAATATCAACCTTCGGTTGAAACCGTGACTAGAATTTCGACTAAAATTCTGGATCCTTGGTAATAATTTTTGCTCACAGCCGAATTTATCACTTACGTAACCCTCTGAAGAAATACGTACCTGAGGCAACATCCTAATTGCATCAGATGTTGAACTCAGTGTGAATTCTTTACGAAGCAGCATTGACGAATAAGCATATCAACGAAAATCGATTCTCTATTGAAAGAATCAATTCGTAAAAAAATCGAACAGAAAAGGATCTACTAAAAGGACTTTTAGAACAAGGAACATTCTTGGAGGAGAAAGATCAGTTTTCTAAAATTTGAAACGAGATCGCCCATCATTATTTTGAACGAATCTGTGAATCCGGACAGGTGAGAAAACGAGACACACAGGTACTTTCTGTTTCTTGGTTTTCTTTCAGCAGTTTATTTAAACCTCGTGTTACAAGATAAGGCTTAGCAGCAAGGCTCTGATCGTGCGCGTGCATTTGAGTTTCGTGTGTGTCGCGTGTATACGTAAAATGTGATGCGTGTTTCCGGAGTGTGACGATACACATGCGAATACGTTTTGCGACAGACGTTGCCGTGATCTGGGAGATAGCGACGCTATTTTCCGTTATTTAACGTGGTTTTTGCTTCCCTTCTTTCTTTCGTCCTTGCCTTCTCTCGCCACCGTGCGCTCGTCGAGAGGAACCTGACGCAACGTTTTCTGAAAAAAGGCGCAACCTCCCACTCGGGGATCCGCGATGGACGCGACAATGAGCGATCAGGGCGGCCATTAGCTGCCCGACATCGGACCTAGTTCTAAGGTCTGATCTTTATAGCTGAATTAATGCTACACCGGAGCTTGAATCCTTTTCCTCTCAGCTCTGTTATATACTTGCTTCGCTCTAAAAATGAAAAGTGCAACCTGCTTCGGCTATAAAGAACAGACCTCTAGAAATGAGCCAGTTCTGAAAACAGCAGGTGACAGTGATCCGGTGACGGTACAATTCGCGATATCTCTGTTTTCGCGGACTCGACGAGGCGATTACGATCAGACGTGACGCTCGCATCCTCGTTAGAACTTTAACTCCCACGTAATTATCTTCTCATCCACCACGCACTCCCGCCCCTTTCTCTCCCTTTCATCCGCACGCGCATACACGCAGAAACAATTGTGCCAACTCTCGCGCGCGTTTAATCAATCCATCCTCTTTCTCTCGTCGTAACACGTAGGTCACATCGATCGATTAGAAACGACATTGAAGACAATATGTACAGAGACTCGGAGACTCGTATATGTATATATATATATGTATAGATTTATGCTAAAATAATTATTAATTTAAACAACGAGTTAGTACCTTAGAGAATATTACAGTGACGTTAAACGCCGAGCGGAACGATCGGGTTCACGGTGGTGTGTCGTTCGTTCGTCCCCCCCCCCCCCCCCCTTTTTNTGTGTGTCGACAGCTGATTAATTAATCTTAATGCACGATGTGATTAACACGTTTAAAAAAGAGGAATAGTCACTTGTCGCGATAAAACGTGCGTCGTATTGAGCGTCGACTTGTGCCAGCTTCGTGTGCCTCGACATTTTCACGTTGACGACGATTATTTGATTTGCGACAAAAGAAATCGAATTTCGCGTCCCGACACTTCTCACATTTTCAGGTTTATTTCCCTTATAGCGGCGTATTGAGACTAACTTCCGTGCTCATTTCGAAAAGACGAACCGGTTCGCAATCAGGCAGTATAAACGAGCGACGAAAGAGACCGAAATAACAAACAAGACAGTTTGCCGGGAAAAAAATTCCGACGGGAACAGGAGAGAGACGGAGAGAGACCGCGGTATAAAATTCGTCCCCGATCGCGCTCGGCGCACAGTCGGCCGAAAATTTTGGTCGAATCGATTGAAAGGAGCTTTTCCTCCTCCTCCTCTTCCTTCTACTCCTCCTCCTCCGTATGTATAAATATTTAAATAGTCCGGTTAAGTAGACGTTAAAGCAATGAACGGGAGTCGACGCGTATATCATTTTAATATATATATATATATATGTATATATATATTAAAAAAGTTGTCTGTCCTTTCGGCTCTCTACTCACGTATTATCTTATCTCCGACGACTTAACAGTTAATGCGCACGTCTCGCAGCATATATATATAAATATATATACACACATATATATATGTATATATATATACTTAATTAACATTATTGATACGTCACGCGCCGACCGCGTTATATTAATATATATATTAATATATATATAATATAATATATATCTTAATATATTTATTTTACATCGTGACGCCGTGAAAAACCGCACTGGAGTGTTCTTCGCGCGCTACATAGAGCTCTGGTGCGGGAATATATATAAATATATACTTTTTATACATCTATATTTATATATATATTTATATATATTTATATATATACGTGTGTGTGTATGCATTTTTAGAGAACAACAAAGACGAGAGACATTCACGTGATTAACTTGTCGTGCTGACTTTCTCTCGCGAAGCTTTTTCGGCTCCCCATCCGCGTCCGTCTCCCCGACGCGCCGACGAAGGCTCACAGGATCGCTCGATTGTGATTCGTCGAACGAGTTGTCCAAGGAGTAAGGAGATCCCGAGAGTCCAAGAGAGACGTGCAAGCGCGTAGCCAGACGCGAATCGCGGAGGATCCGTGGGCTCCGCAGGGTCCGAGGATTCGACGATAGCGTGTATGTGTGTGAAGAATGTCCGTGTGTACATGTATGTGTGTGTGCAGGCCGTTTGACGGCGGTGCGCTGTAACGGGAGTCGCGCGATCATCGGCGTCTCACCACGTTATCGTCGTCGTCATCTTCGTCGTCGTCGTCATTGCCATCATCGCGGCGATCATCAGTGCAGGGCCCAGCCAATGGTATAGTTGCGAGAGGCTCTTCCCATGCGGCGCAGGCGATCTGCCGAAAGAAACATGCTCGAGGGAGCCGTTACGGTAGGAGGTGGGGTGGGGGGCAGGGGAGGCTCGATATAAACGGAGGATTCCCAAGGATCGTTCCTGGGAGAGCGAGAGAAAGAGAGAGGGCCTCGTGAGACGACGGATCCGCGGCGTTCGCTCGGATCAACGATTCGCGATGATCACGCCCTGGAGAGAACGAGTCTCCGGGGTAGCTCTTCCGTTGAATCGTGCGATAGACCTCACGAGCGTGTCGTAAGGAGAGCGTCAAAGCGGCTCCCTTTCATGTTAACCGCGCGTGCATCAAGTGCACGTCGAATTTCCCGGCGTGCGCAGCGTCCAGGCTGCTTCTTAAAAGTAACTTGTTACAGTTATCCTTATGCATTTTGAAAAATAGTAAAAATGTTGCAGAGGAATTATTCTTTTTTTTTTTTTAATTATCTTCCAATCGAAGGAACAAATCAATTATTTGATGATTTGAAAAATGGTAGTATTAACGAATGTTACTATTTTTGAAAAGGTTAAATGATTTTTTCGGCACTAGTACGTCGCTTTATTGTAATTATATATTGTAATTATAATGTAATACATAATTCAATGAACGAAGTGAGAGATATGTATGAATGCATATGAGATTGTAATGTAGATTATTGTATTGTAATTCTATTGTAATATGTATAACTCAATATTGTAACATTATGATATATTATATTCTTACTCAAATATAGATTCATACATTTATTATTTTATCCCCCTCAAATTAATATTCGATTAATAATGCGGAAATTTTGGGTCGATTGAATTATCGCTGACTTGGTCTACCGGCTCGTTTCGGAAATCTCGCTGATTTGTTGTTGAATCATAGTACTTGAACGAAAAACTTTCCGCCGTCCGACTCACTTGTCACGTTGACTTGTACTACTAGAATAAAAAAAATTCTACTTCAATGCAGGATAAATGGCAAGTCAGACAGCCGAAAATTTTCTTTACGAGATGACGATCTGCGAATCGTTGACCGAGCTCCTTGGATCCGCAGATCCTCCGATGCAGGGCGGCGCGTCGCGTCACGATCGGCCGGACGGCGGAGACGACACGGTTCGATTTCAAGGAATTTGCATGCGCAAATTGCGACTCGCCGACCACTCGTGAGTAATCATTCGCGGAGACAGTCTCTGCGAGTCAAATGTCAGATTCGCAGACTGAAGAGAGACCAAGAAGAAGGGCCGGTCGTGATATCGGGGGGGACGGGAGAGGGGGACCGTGATATCGACGGTTGCACTGGGTGTCCCGGAAAGCGCGCGACGGCCGGACAAATCGGGATGATGAATGAGCGGCCTTAATAAATAAAACGGATTAACGGGGGGCGCGTAAAAATACGCGCTCGCGCTTCTTCGCGAAACTTTCGTCGCGGGACTGCCGTCGGCAGTTAAAGCTCTCGGAAAATAAGTATAAAAAGCCCTCGGATAATTTGCATCACGAGAATCCTTCGGATAGGAGTAATTCGCCGGCGGCGGCGCCGCCGCTACTTCTCTCGGATTTTCTCCTTTTTTCCTCTTTTTCTCTACCCCCGGTACGTCTCGCGCTCGCCAGTCGTAAAGCAAAAGTAATTAACGCGTATACTACGTCAAACCATCGCAGCGGCGATAAAACACTTTACGCGCCAGACGCCGGTATACATGTATACCAGCTGGCCGCATTAATTCGCACGAAGGTGTACACGGTATATTACATCTCGGGTCGGCGTGTGCGTCTGTGTGTGTGTGTGCGCACGTGGTGCTCCGCTCCTCTCGGTGTTTCCACGCACACACATCTCTCCGATGTGCGATTAGTAATCTCACAGTCGGCGCCGTAAAGGCAACGAATTTCGCGCTGACGTTAATTTCGCGCACTATAACGAAAAAAGGGGTAGGGGAGGAGAGGGAGGAGAGAGGATGAAAAAGGTGGGAAATTGTATCATTTCTAGCGTGGATACGTCTCGCGTTGAGTTTCGGCGGTAATTACGCCGATATTACAGCGCGTTTATTAGCCACTCGATTACGCGAGCGCGGCGGAGCTTGAGTTTCCTTCCGACGTGTTTACGACAACGACGCATCCTCCTCTTTATCAGCATCATTATACACATCCGCCGATGCGGGGAATCAATCCGTCCTTCGCATCATATTTACGGCGATCTTCTGCCGAAGATATCGCAGCCACCGCGGCCTAAGTAAAAACACGCGCTGTCTCTTTCTCTCCCGATAAATCTCGTCGACTCGCCGAACAAAGTCACGCGGGAATACTTTCGATCAGAAATCAGATTTATTGGAGCCGGCGTGTTCCGCAATTTTTTGCCGATTACGAACGCCTGCGTCTGCCATACGGAGATAAACGGCCAAGGGAAGTTCAGGAGGTCCGAGAAAGAACGGCGAGCCGTTCGGCGCTACATTTATTCGTCGTCTCTTTCGCTTTTTGCGCGCGCGGCCCACAATTTTCGTCGCGATTTGTGTGACGGGGGTCGACGTGCCGCGAGAATCGTCGTACACGCGTGTCGAAAAGGGGACGAATCTGCCAATATGCCGTCGGTATTGAAACGTCAGCCCCATCCTCCCTCTCTCTCTATCGCGGAGGATAGGTAAGGTAGCTGTTCCGTGAAATAAATTTCTTAGGAATTCCCTTGGATTGCGCGAAGTGGGTTGAAACGTTACCTGAATGTGCAGGCAATTAGAAAAAAGACCGACGGTTGGAGAAAGAACGATCGAAGGCCACTCGGACATTCGACGATCCGGAACTCGAGCCAAGGAAAATATATAACGCGATGTAAGAACGGAACCTTCACACGCACGGCGAAAAAGAATTCGGAGGGATGGCAAATTTTATGTTGTACAGCAGATGAATAAATGCATAAGATATTTCCCCGGTGCTGTTCGATATTTTAGGGGTTGATTTTTGAGGTGTTAAGAAAAGTGTTCGTAAGTACGAACGTGTGTTCGTTATTTCACAGAATGACCTGAAAAATCAACTCTTGAAATTTTACAGGAGTATTTAAGGAACATCCCTGTACATTCTCATTTATCCGCACGAAACTTGCCGTCCTTCCGAATCATCTCTCTCGGTGCGCGAAAGGGAAGGGGCAAATGTCCATACGAGGACAAGATATTAGCTCCGGCGAGAGATATTTCACGACATCCGCGACATACGCAGGTATACGCGCAAGGCGATTCGACGTTGACAGGTCGCGGATGCACAAGGCTCCGCGACGAGACGCGCTCGGATGGTCCGGGCCGGATCGTTAATAACCCGGTATCAGCCGGCTTTCGCCGGCGATGTGTTACGACGACGCGCGTGTTAAGTTACCGAGCAAGCCGCGTTCTGCATTTAATGGGGAATTAATTATCGCGCGAGCAAAGAGCGAGCGAGGCGAACGAGCGCGTACGTGGCGCTCTCGCAAAGAGAACAGCTGATAGAGGAGGAGGAGAAGAAGGATACTGCGGAAGTGCGGAACGTGTAAACCGAGTTCCTGCCGCGCGCGATGAAAGCACAGCGAGCCGTTGTAATTCGTTATTAGCGGCGTCTCGCCGCGCGCGCGTGAACGAAGCTCCCGTAATACGTTGCCGTAATTAGTTTAGCTGTCGGACAATCCCTCGCCCGGAGTTTACCCTGCCTGCGCTCCGACGAGCTACAGACGAGCAGCACCGATTACACGCCCGTCGCGCGGACCCGATTTTTCGGCCGGCCAATCTTTCCGAACGCGCGCCGATTAACACGCCCTGAGCGCGGCTAATCGACCTCACGGCTCGAACGGGGTGGAATCGGAGAGGGGATGTGTAAGGGGCCATTCAACAATTACGTCACGCGCAATGAATATTTGAATTTTTTTTTTTCTTTATTCTTCCCTCTTCCCCTTCGTAACACTTTTTTGTCATAAAGTATTTCGACCTCCCTCCGAAATTATAATCTTCCTGCCATATTATATTTTGTTAATCTCATGCTGCTTTTCGATTCGGCACAATTATATTACGTAAATATAAAAATCATTAATATCAAATTAACTTGCTTTCATAATTTTGACTCGTAAAAGTTCTGTTTATGAGAAGAATAAATATTAAAAAGCCAACATTTTGATTATTAACACGAAATCACGTCAGAGCTTGAAACTTTTCGCCAGATGTAACCAAATGTGTCATGAATGCAAACAAAATGGCTAACCACGCGCATCCATAGACACAAATTACGCCATATAATGTGACGTTAATGGCCTTTACCCCCCTTTCCCTCCGCCCTGCCATCACAGACCGTCACGCAAGCTAATAGACCAACCCCTCCTCCTCGTGACGTAACATGATTGTTGGAATTAATTGGATTTTATATCTTTCGGGGGAGATATCATTTGGCAAATTCATAAGCTGCGATATAGTGCTCCGGAGAGTAACGTGTGTTCGCGAAGGAAAAAGGAGAAAACGAAGGAAGAAGAGGGCAAGAAGAGCTCGCCGTAACTTTCCCGCGGTTTTCCGCCAATTTGCGCGCGACCCCCTTCGATTCCCCGCGACGTAACGACGTTCATCCGCGGCGAATAAATTCCGGGAACAATCGAGGGATCGCGCCGCGAAATGGTTATCGCGAGCGGTTAAATTACTCGGCGAGAAAAAAAGTGGAACAACTCGGCGAGCGCCTTCTCCCGTCGGCGCCATCGGCGTCGTTGACAGTTGCTCTAGAAAACGACGCGGAGGAGGGGGGGGNGGGGGGGGGGGGGGGAAGGGGCAAAGAAATAAGACAAGTGGACGAGGGAGAGGAAAACTCGGCGAGCGCCGGCATCGAGAGCCTTTCACGCTCGACTGACGCGTCCCTAGATTTCATCTTCTCTCCGCGAAAATCCCGAAGTACTTCCATCATACTTTCTTACTGTTTCTCCCACCCTCCGCGGCCGCCCCTCGAGCCACCCCTCGGCGCCGCTATCCTCGTCGTACCGGCGCGATCGCAAAACACCGCAACAACCTCTTTAGAAATGTCGTCGTTTTGTTTCTCCTT